CCGGGGCCGATCCCCTCCCAACACCCAACCCCCCCCCCAAAAAAAAAAAAAGCCCGTGGGGCTTGCAGGCAATATTTGGCAAGCGCCCGTTCAAAAAATGGACATCCCTCTGTCTAAACCAATGTTCCCTCTAAGCTGAGTTAGTGTGAGCTAGCTCACGGTTTTTGAGCCTCCGGCTCACACATTTTTGTCTTCGCTCAGGAAGGAGGGCTCCAGAGCAAACCAATTTATGCAGTAGCCAAATCACCCGCTCACAACTTTAATGCCAGCAGCTCACAGAGTAGATTTTTTGCTCACAAGACTCCATAGCCTAGAGGGAACATTTGTCTAAACCTCTCTTTTTTCCCCCCGCCTTGACTTCACCTGCAGCCCCGCAGCAGTCTTCCACTTCCTTCTGCATAATGTGCAGTGTGCAAACCCGCGCCGAAGCTTCCCGGGAGGAAAGGGGCCGGGATGATGGGAGTGATGGAGGCTCATCAGTCAGCACCGGGAGGCCGCCTGGAGAAGCATCCTGGGGAGCGGGCCGAGAGACCACGGGGGATCTCTTCCCCAGCTCACAATGCGCTCCCCGCTCCCCACCCCTCACATTTCCCCCCTGGGTGTGTGTGTGAGAGAGAGCGAGCATGCATGTGCTTGCATGAGCAACGCGGCGTCATGCCCCCATGTCATGCGCCCGGGACTTACCTCACAGTGCAGTGCACAATGCTCTGGAGCGGTACGGAGATCCCAAGTGATAAGAAAGCCTCCCCCTCTGCGCACACGGGCCTGGCCGGCTTCCTCGCGCGGAAACGCGGCGCTCGGCCTCCACTCGCTTCTACGGCGTCTGGAGAAGAAGGGGTTAAACCCCGGGGAAGGCACCGCCGGGCTCTTGGAGAAGGGGCTGCTTTATTGCCCCGTTTCCCTTTAAGAGAGCATTGGCCGCTGGCCGGAAGCGTGTCGGAGGTGGGTTTCACTTTGGGCGGAAAAAAAACTTGCACCATAGAGATCGAAAGATAGACGGGCTCAGAGAGGGCGGGGCTGAAGGAGTGGCGCCGCCGCCGCAGCTGCAATAAGATCAGAGTGCCGGGATGATGAGGGTGGGAGGGTATTTGCTGGGTGAGTTGTGTATGCGCATTTCCCCGCTGTCACCAGGGTGCGGGGAGCTATTAGGAGAATTATATATCTAGTTTCTAGGTAGTTGTCACTGCGGTTTTTTTTTTACAAAATCTGGAAAGTCAACGACGGCTCTCCCCCCCCCCCCTTTTTCCTTTTATTTTTTTATTTAATCAAGTTGCAACGAGGTAGTGATCGAACTTTTGTCTTTTGCAGCCCTCTCCATCGGACTGGATGTTCAGTAAAGAAAAGAAAAAAAATGAGAGGGGAGGAAGGTGGGCGGCGGGAGAGCATAGTGGGGAAAACCTAAAACCAGCACCTCGCGTTTTTCTTAAAACTGAGTGCAAGAAGAGTTGCCAGACTTCAAAAGAGCGTAAAAGAGATTTCGAGATGGGGGCAGGGACGGCTGTGTTAAGGAAGTCGGAAAGGAAAAAGAGGGACGCTCTCGCCTCGGAACTACAAAAGCCTGCAGTTAATTGGATGCCTCAAGCACTAAATGGAATTCATGTGACCCTTGTAAGGCAGAGAGCGGCAGGAAAAACGTGTTACTTCACAAGATTTACTTACCCAAAGAGTCAATAGAAGCCCAAGTGGGTCATATCACTTACCGGGTTTTATCTAAGTATCTTTAAATACACACACATTATGACAATATTCTCTAGTGTCCTCGTTTATTATCTCAAAAAGGGACTTCTCAGGGAATTTAAGGCTGTTATATTCTTCTTTGCAAAATGTGCATTGTAAAGACGGTTACCCTGTTAACCCTCCTGGGGTTGTTGTTTCTTCTATTTCTTGAGAAAGAATAGATTATTTGGTCTGCTGCACCTGCTGCAGTCACAGGGATGCCGGCCTCCAGGTGGGACCTGGAGTTCCCCCAGATTTACAGCTCATCTCCAGACCACAGAGGTCAGTTCCTCTTGAGAAAGTGGATGCTTTGGAAGTTGGACTCTGTGGCATTGTACTCCACTGAACATAAGAACATAAGAGATGCCAATGTTGGATCAGGCCAAAGGCCCATCCAGCCCAACACTCTGTATCACACAGTGGCCAGAAATACCAGTGCCATCAGGAGGTCCACCAGTGGGGCCAGGACATTAGAAGCCCTCCCACCGTTGACCCCCCACTGAGGTTCCTGTCCTTCGCAGACTCCATCCCCAAATCCCCAGGAGTTTCCCAACCTCTATCTGGCAACCCTTCCATTCCCTACAGGTGGCCAGGAGAAACCTGCCAACCCTACCTGAGTCACATCTCATCTCACAGAGTTCAGAAAGGGAACAGTACAGTCAGCCACGAGTTTGAGCTGAACCTCTTGAATATCTTTCAATGCCTGTTCTCTCTCACAGATCTTCTACAAAAGTTCAATTTTCCTACAGAGGAACAAGCTGGGCATCATTTCTCGTTTTGCTTCTCACTCCACTGTATGAAGCCTGTAATACAATATATCCTGTGAGTCTTGACGGAAGGTCGTCCATCCAGCTATTATCTCATTATCTCTGAAGGATGTTCAGTGCCCTCTTGTAGTATAGACATCCTTAACCCCCAGTTAGAACTCTGAAACTTTCACTTACAAATGTTGTGGCTGGCCATAAATTCTCCCTGAGTGAGCATCTTCAAGTCTAGTGTACATATAGCAGCCTAGCAACATCGTGGAGCAAACATAAGTGCTAAAACAGAATAACGTCTCAGCAGCCCTGGCCTCTCAGAAAAGCCAATGTACCAAGTAGTATTCCTTGTGTGTCATTCGGTGAAAAAATGTGTGGCTCAAATAGGAGACTAGTTTATCCCACCACCCCCCGTGAAAAAAGTTTGAAGCCTTCCTCTTAAGTGGCTTTTTCTCCTATGGAAGAATCACTTCTGTCAAAGGAAAGCTCTTTAGGCCGCTGAAGGAAAGTTTCAAATATGGCTGAGTGGATGACTAGAATACAGACCAGAGGTCTAAGAATTCTGCAGCTCTCACCAGCTGCATTTTGAAAACATATTCAGCTCCCTTCCCCCAACATTTATTCTTATTTTGCTGAGGCCTGTGTTCTTCAAAAGGAGCCCATGCCTAAGAGAAGCAAGATTTTTTTCCTCTGTTGCTAAGCTTCTGGTTCTTGTTTGCTGGTTCTGGAAAAAATACCAGGATGCGGGTTGTGGTCTTCTGCCTAGCCAGACCATAATTCTTACTGTAGGATCAAGATCGAAAGAACAATCACCAATTGCCTTCACAGGAGGCAACATTAAAAGTGAAGGAGAAAAAGAAAGAAAATAAAGAGAAGGAGAAAATTGTTGAAAGTTTCTAGGAAGGTTAAGGGTGGGACTGTTAAATACTTGAATATATGTACAATGCAGTACAGGGAACCTGATTGGGGTGGCAAGTCAGAAGAATTCAAGGACCAAAGGCATGTGAAAGAAAATAGGGAAAATCAAAATAAAAAAGAAATAAAATATAGGTTGACCTTAAAGGATTCCTACAGGTTGAGGCAAGGATTTAAGCTAGGTAGCTAGGATAGGATGATTTAATTAAAGGGACTCTAATGGAAATGAAATTGGCTGTCTAAAAATAATCAGCAGAGATAGAAGCAAATGTAAGACAAGATTAAATGAAATATTGGATGTTTGTGTTATGGGTCTGATCTATACCAAGTGAGATAGAGGCTATAAGAAAATAGCTGACACAACTTAGCCAACCACTTATGAAAGTCTGAGGTATAATTTAACAGATGAGACAGATTGAATGGCTTTTCAAGGATGAGATGTAGATTATGCATTGAACACATTATTATTATTTCATTTTTATTTTATTTACATATATATTAATTTCTGAGTGGGATGTTGGTGAGATTGTCATAATAATGCTACTTCAGTAAAGTATGAGTTCTGAACTAACATGAAGTCAGATGGAAAAAATAGCTGAACTTTAAGCTGAATAAGAATAAAAGTATTATAATAATGAGTAATAAATAATGGGTTATCTAGGAATTGGGGTGCAGAAGTTTTAAAAGAATTACAGAAACTATGTAATGAATTGGCTAACTTGATTTAGGATTTATGTATCATGGAAGACTATAATATTGGCCATAACAAGGGTGATGGTTTTTATGTTTGTTTGTTCTGTTTGTTTTGTTCAACAGTGTGTGAAAATAAAAAAATATTTAAAAAAAAAAAAAAAAAGTGAAGGAAGCATAATGAATGTGTGAAAACATACCTCATGGACAAGGTTTGAGTCCAGTGGCACTTTTAAGATCAACCAAGTTTAATTCTGGGTATAAGCTTTCGTGTGCATGTATACTCCTTCAGATACATGCCACGTTTAATTCTGGGCACAAGCTTTCTGGGTATATAAGCATGCACACTTCAAATACATACCAAGTTTAATTCTGGTTGTAAGCATGCACATGAAGGCTTATACCCAGAATTAAACTTTGTTGGTCTTAAAGTTGCCACTGGACTCAAACTTTGTTCTGTTGCTTCAGACCAACTTGGCTACCCACCTGAATGTACCTCATGGGTATAATTGCTTAAGAACAGACAAGAGGCCCGGAATTCCCACCTCTTGTCAGTGTGGTTTATGCTTTGGTGTACTCAAACTTGTGTGCACATATGATCCATTTTTCCTCTTGCCTGTGTGCATCCGGTACAAGGAAACTGTTTTCTACAACACAGTCATGCAATAAGTGATCAGTATATAAATTGCCGTGAGATGGAATGATTCAATAAAGGAAGTCATGGCCCTCAGTTTGCAAGACCTGAACAAGTCTGTTAATGATAGGATGTCTTGGAGGCCATTAATTCATAGGGTCACCATAAGTCAGAAGAAACTTGATGCCACTTAGCAGCACACGGTTTATCCTTCCTCCCAAAAAACCCCCTCTTTAACAGGATATGTCAATCCATGGTGACAGCATGTGCTCCCAAGCCTGCATTTGACTGCAGTCAGCAGATGCTGTAAAGTATGTGATGGCCATCTGACTGCCATCCTTGCTTACATCAGACAAATGAGACATGTTGGGTTATGTTAATAATAACTCTGTTATTTTTAGAAGAACATCTCAAATTAGGCTACATGGTGGATTGTGAACAACTTGACAGTGGAAATTTATCCTGAATTCTACCAGTTATTCTTTCTTTGTTTTACAGCGGCTCTCTGTTGTTTACATGTCAGTGAGGAGACAAAACCTATGAACTGAGGGCTTGTGACCAACCGAGGGGGCGGATGACAATTTGGTAATTATCAGTGGTTCTCAACATTCCATGTTGCTAAGATTCTAGCAGAGCTGGATGAGATGAAATAATTAAGGTATTCAGTCCCCCTTTGTTGAGAGCAGGAAGACTGATTTAACTATGGGTAGATTCAAGTGAGGTGGCCATGTTGGTCTGAAGCAGCAGAAGAACGTTTGAGTCCAGTGGCACCTTTAAGACGAACAAGATTTTATTCATGGTGTAAGCTTTCCTGTGCAAGCGCACTTCATCAGATACAGTGGAAAGAACCTCCTCAACCATTACTTATAGGGGGTGGGGGTTGATGTCAGGGAGGACCCTCTCTATAGATTGCTTGCTTTCATTCATACTGTTTCTTTTCTGAATAGTGTGAATAGGTTTATTTGTATAGCATTGATCTCTGTTCTGGTGCCCATTTGCTTATTTGACAGTCCTTCTCTAAAGCACAAAGCCAATTCTGACTTTCCTCCACCTCATTGAAGCAGGAGGTGCTTCAGAAGAGCCCAGGAGGCATCAGTTTTGTGTCTGTAGAGATGCCCCATTCAAGAACAGCTGCCTCTATTGTCAGAAGGTGCTTCGCTTGCAACCTCCAGTCCCAACACGCTATGATTGGCACCAGCACCCCATGGCAACCG